TTATCTAAGCTTATTCTATGTGAACAAATAACCATAAAAGTAATCAAAACATGAGTCTGCTCAGCTGATCCACCTTCTGTGGAGTGTAACTGTTCAAAATAAGGAAAACATTTTTCTTGTGTTATTTTGCTTCCTCTCTGAATCCTAAGCCTTCCATTTTAGGAAAATTAAAGTTGTTTTAATGTTCTATGTCTGGGAGAATAAGAGGGATATCTCAACATGAAAAAGTAGTGTTTCTGGTTTCTATAAATATTTACTATGAAAAATAGACTAGGTGAATGAATATTCACTTGGAGCACAACCCTTATGAGGAGTGGCTGAGAGAACTCTACCACTACCTGAAGGCAGGTTGCGGTGAGGTGGGGGTTCGCCTCTTCTCCCATATTAATAGCAATAGGACTAAGTTTCACAAGGGAAGGTTCAAGTTGGATGTTAGGAAGAACTTCTCCAAAAGAGTGGTCAGGTGCTAGAATAGGCTGCCCAGAAAGGTGGTGGAGTCACCAACCCTGGATGTATTCAAGAAATGTTTAAATGTTGTACAGAGGGACATGGTTTAGTGGGAAATATTGGTGATAGACAGATGGATGGTAGGACTGGGTGATCTTAGAGATGTTTTCCAACTATGATGATTCTGTGATTCTGTGAATATGTTTTAAACAATTGGGATTTGATTTCAATGCAAGTGCAAGTGTGTACAGAAGATTCTGCACTGGTGTTATCTGGCACGTTCAAACTATAGATCATGGTGATGTAGTCTTTTCATAAATGCACCTGCACTTGTCTTTGTGGGGCAGAAATGAACAAGTTCACAGAATCACGGAATCACAGAATAGCAGGGATTGGAAGGAACCTTGAAAGATCATCTAGTCCAATCCCCCTGCCAGAGCAGGAACATCTAGATTAGGTCACACAGGAATGCATCCAGAAGGGTTTTGAATGTCTCCAGAGAATGAGACAACCTCTCTGAGCAGCCTGTTCCAGTGTTCTGTTACCCTCACCGAGAAGTTTTTTTCTAGTATTTATGTGGAACCAGCTATGTTACAACTTCTACCTGTTGCCCCTTATCCTATCATTAGACGTCACTGAGGACTTCTGACTGTCACCCAGGCAGGGGCCATCACTAATTTAAACCAAAATGTTTTCCTTTAGTTCTGTGTTTGTCCTGACAAATGCCAATTCTTGTTTTCAATTCAAACCTCTCTGTTAATTAACCAGTTAGTTGTTGAGGGGAAGTGAAATGCTGTGAGTTTTGTGATTCTATAGTTCTGTGTTCAAAATGGGCTTTTTCCTAAGTTTGTGATGTGAAATATCCCCGCCACATAGGAGAGTGTTGAGACAGGGCAAGGGGACAGCTGTGGTGTGTGCAATGTAGTGGTTGGTCCTTGCGATGGAAATGAGGGCAGCGTGTCCTGCTGTGGGGTACGTGCTTGTGTGTCAAAGGCAAGGAGATGCAGGAACCTACATGAAAACTCTAAGGTTCCTAAAGCAGAGAGACAATTATTATTTTTCTTTTAAAAAAGAAAATGTGTTTATTTTGTTTTGTACTTTTTCATTATTTTGTGTCGTTTTAAATTGCTGATTGCCCAGTCTTGAAAGAAAAGTCCAAACAAAGCATCTGGACTGGACCTTCTTGCTGAAGTTCAGTACTTCTTTCCATCCAAACCAAAGTCTAGTCCTCCAGAGCTGCCTCTGCCTCTTCTTTTACTTCTTCTCCCACCCTGAGCTAGGATGAGGGAGAGGGACAGGAAGGATGGGCTCATGGGAGCCTTAGCTGTCACGAGAAGAATTATCAGGAAATGAAGGCTCCATGTGAGCCTGTAGGCTGGTGCTGAGTTCAGGCTCTCCTGGCTAACAGTAAACTTATAGGATCCATGCCCCCCCTGCGATGTTCGAGGCCCCCAGTGTTGAGGTCCCTCTGTTGGATTCCTCCCTCTGGCCTGGCACAGCAGCTCGAAGGATGGCTGTCCCTGCCCTGCCCTCTTCCTCAGGACTTGGTGAAGAAGAGACGAGAGGTCTTGGGAAGGGGCAAGGAAAGGAGACGAGAAGGAAGGGCTCATAGGAGCCTTGGCTGCAGAAAGGAGAATGACCAGGAAATGGAGCTCCACGTGAGCCCACAGGATGGCCACAATGATCTTGGGGCTCTCCTGGGTAAGACCAAACTTACAGGACAAGAGGATCACTGCCAGCGTCGAAGCGGCCATTTCAAGGGAGGTAGACGGATCCTGGCGCCCCTGCGATGTGCTCTGGGGCGCGACCTCTTTCTGATCAGCCTGGCAACAACAGAGTGATGTCCACTCTGCCCCAATGAAGGTGGATCCACCTCCATCAGGTTGTCTTCTGGGGGTGGATCCACCTCCGTGGGCTGTGCACTGCTTCCAGGCGGGTCCACCTCCATGGGCTTGATGTCATCACCCATTTCCAGCAGCCGCCTCTTCTTAGTGGGTGGCTGCTCCATCTTATCCTTAGAAATAATGAGTATCTCTTTCCGAGACTCAGAGTCCAGCAGCCTCTGAGTCAGCTCAGGCACTGCCGTTGGGGGCAGCTCAGTGGCCATGGCAACAGGATTCTGAATGCCCCATGCTGACCCAAATGCAGTGGCTGGCAGTTGCATTGGACAGCCTGTGAGGCTCTTCAGGCCTGGTGCTGGGATTTTCCACCCGGAGAATGGGAAGACTGATTAGGGATTGCTGTCCTCAGCCAGTTCTCTCCTTGGCCACAGAACGGGTGGTTGAAGGTGAGGTAACCTTAGTATGTAACAAAATTAATGCATCTAAGCAAGAAAACTATTATTTTGAAATGAAAACATGATAAAGAGCAACAAAAACATAGAACTAGTGGGATATGTGACCTTGTTTTTGTGATACTGATATGTCAGTCTGGTTCAATGGCAGTGGCTGCAATTCTCATTGAGTTCCTGAGGTGTTCATCAGAGGTTTCTTACATACTTTACTCTTTCTGTACTTCCTGCTTGGAAAGAGTTGCTCACAAATCTATGTACAGCCAAAAAGCAATGACACAAATAAGACACAATTGTGAATTGAGAGGTATTTCTTTCTGGTCAGATAGGGAACAAGTTCATTCTACCTGTGCTCCAAGGGAAATGCAAACTGTTTAGCTGCACTGAGACTAAGCTGGGCTCTGCTTCATTAAACTAAAATTCTTGCCTATATGATAGTTCAGACAGAACTAGTAATGCTTGCCTTTAAAAAAGCAATCACCAAGTATGTTCCTGACTTGCTGTTGCAAGTGATTTTATTTTAAATCATCTCATTTGCCTGTAACTGAGCTAGGAAGGCCACGGAGGGATTCAGTAGCCTAAACTCAGGCTATTTTACACAGCACAGTGTGACTGAAGACAACTGCTAGGGTTTGGCACCTGGCAGATATTGCCTCTAGTAAGCCCATGTCCTTCCAAGGCAGCAGCTGGAGGCCAAATGGGAATTTCTAGGACATCTAAAATGGCACAAGGTATCTACATTCAAGTAAAATAATTACATCTCATCGAAACTTGAAGTTAACTGGTGTGAAATCTGAAAGAATTGGTTTATCAACCACCATATATGCTTGTGCTTGCAGCCATCTTCAGTCTGTGCAAAAACTATTTGTATTTCTTTCCAGTCCAAAAAGTAATTATTTACGTTTGTCAAACTACAGGAAGAAATGCTATTTCAGTCTCCTTCAGAGAGTTTGATAAACTTCTCATGTACCTTCCCTTTCATGTCTAGATATTTCAGATAGAAACAGTGCACAGTTTTCAAGGATTTTCAGTACTTATAAACCTTTAGATGCTCAGAGTTTTTGTGTAACCAGGAAGGCTTTTCAGAATCTAGTAGGTGATCTTATTCGGCTCTGACCTTTAAAGGAAAAGAGGATCTAGAAAGTGATTGCCTTATGAAAGGTGAAGGAATACTTCATTACCAAAAAATGCATGTACTGTAGTAGCAGTGTTGTAGCACCTTATATATGATTTGAAGGAGTCAGAGTCTAACGGCATTACAATTTTTTACCTGTAGATAGAAGTGCTTGATAAGTCTTGTGCTTGCTTTTGGTTATGTGACATACTCGGGTGTGCTGAGTTTACACAGTCAACTTCTCCAATTTCTGTCCTGTTAAAACTAGCATTATCTGTTAGGTTTGAGTAACCTCATGAAATATTGAGTAACCTCATGAAATAAGAGAAATTGCATTATGATCCAGGCGTTTATAAGGAATTTGAGGTTTGGGATGTTCTTAAAATTGAAGGGACAATTGTTAAGGGCAAAAAAGCAAAATAGCAGTCCATTAGTCTTTCAGTGAAAAGGAAATCCCAGGTAATGGGTGGGATGTTAGTGACAGTATAAATTAGCTCATGATTCTGTTTGAACTTATAAAAATAAATCAAAGTTGCACAAAAACTCTGGCTCTCATCAAGGAAAAGATCCACAGTTATCCATTCAATTAACCACAAAAACATAAAGCCCACACAGCTTTACTAACACAAATGAACTTGTAATTAGAGAAAGCTACATGATATACCTGTGAAAAATGCTAGGGTTTCATTTTACATCTGAATTTTATGTAGAGAATAACTCCACTTCCAAAGCTTTTACAAACTTCAGTAGAACTGAAAGTTGGATTTTTGCTTAAGACAAATACTAATGAGTAAAAAACGAACAAAGTGGGCTCATATTTTTTAGCAATAGTGCCAATTTCATTAACGTCTCCTCGACTCAGGTAAGTGAAGGCTTCTGGAACTAAAATGGTCTTTAAATGTACCTCTTAGCTGATATGTTTGACTGTGTAAGTGCACTGACAGAAGAAAAAAGATAGATTTAGAATCTCATTAGTTATAAATGGGAATTCAGTATCACCAACAAATAAACATTTTTTTTTCATTCTATGTTGCTAAGATGCCTATAGTCACCAAATACAGATTAGTCTGGAGTACATTCATTGCTTCTTCTGGAAGTGTTATAGAATAAAAATCAGTTTTAAATACACTGATTTTTTCCCCTCTTCAGGCTGTTGAAAAATGCACAGAATGAAGTTCATTTCAAAATCTGGTATCGGAAACTACTGGCTGCTCTCCAATTCACTGCTGGGAAAACCTTGAACAATGAATTTTCTAAGGAGGAGAAACTTATCAGAATTTTGGAAGACATTGCTGAAAAAGTAAAAGCTGCCAGTGACATGAAAAGAAAGGTTTGTTAAAAAATATTTCCCCTTCCATCTAAGCTTATCCAGGTAATTTTACTTTTTCCAAAGTGTCTTTTCTTACTTCAGTACCCTTTATGTAAATAAACCCAATATTTGAATGAAATTTTTAATACGTATATTTTTGCTGGGCCGTTCGGAGCCCATTATCTTCTTACCATTATTGCTCTTGAGGTCAGTGTATCTTTCAACCCGCTTAAATTCCTCATTCCATGGTTTCTTAAATTTGGTGGTGGTCAGAAACAGTGAGGTGAGTAACAATTGAAAGGAACACATTCTACATCTCTTTCCAAAATATGTCTCCTGTGGAGGCGCCATTTTCCTCAAAAGCTTTGCTATAAGTTGTCACTAACACGCTGAACATTCTCATTTCTTAACAAAGCCAATCAAAATGTTCAGTACTTCACATCTCATATATAGCAGTCAGTAATTAATACTGCAAGTGTAACTGCAGAGATGCATTCTTGGCAATAGAAAGCTTACAGTTATCTCCAGCAGGTGCAGCTTTTATGTTGCATGGGTATGTTTCCAATTCAAATATTAATTTTCCAAGACATCTTACATTACTTACCTAAAGTGTAAAACAATTTCTTGACAAGATCTCAGTGAAGCAAGCCAAAAAGACAGATAAAAATATACCTGCCACTGCTAGTTATCATGAAAGTTACCATGAATTCTTTTTGCCTTGTTAAGGATTCAAAGATTTTCGTAGTATTTTTCAGAATACTCTGTGTTGCCACTGAAAGCAGCAAAGCAAACGTGGAAGTAAAAATAAAAAATATATTTGCAAAAAGAAAAATCCATGTAAAGGAAAAGAAATAGTAGTGATGCATTATAAATGACTTGCATATTTCATCTCTTTGAGATTAATCTCCAGGCTGTAGTTACCGTGGTACTGAGGAACTTCCAAACCTTGCAGTTAACACACCAACTGTTAGGTGAGGGAGATCACAGTGTTGAGGCAACAAATCGTAAAGCTATCCAGAAAGGCAAAAAAGACATGAGATGCAGCAGAGGAGGTGCGAGACTAATCGGCCACTAATGAAGGGTGTCAAAAATGAACCTGCATGACAGCATAAACAGGGAGAGAACCTAAATAGTAAAAACATCAATACAGAGTAAAATCACAAGTTGTTTTGTTTTGTTTTTTAATAACTGTACCTCAGCGTGACCTCATTAACTGTTAAATGTTTAGATTGATGCTATTAGTGCCAGAAATTTGACTATTTGATTCTAATGTAGCAAGACAGTCAATGACTTAAGAACTGCTATTATATTCTTTCATGTTGCCATAATGATGTGCTTGTTGCAGGAGGTGTTAAAGATGGAACTCAATAGACTTCAGCAGTTCTTCCAGGAGGTAAAAGTTTGCCGACTTCCCCTGAACCCTGCACTTGTTGTGCAAGGCATAGAGGCAGATGTAAGTCTAGCTCATGCAATGAATTACGTTTTTTGTTTGTTCATATTTTAATATGAAGAGGAGGAGAGATTGAATGGCTGTACTGGCTGGGAAATCATCCTACTGGTATTAAGGATAAGTTATCTGGTAAACTGTCATCCAGACTAATCCCCTTGAAATTCAGGGCCTTTGTTGAAGGCAGAGGTGAAGGGGATTACTGGGCTAGGTATTGCCTATCCGTCTTACCTTGTGCAGCAGCAGCAGCACATATTTCAAACTCTCAGCAGTTTTCTCTTAGTTCAGCTCTCCTGCTGTGGTGTTGAGCTTGGCAAAGGCACCTGGATTTCATAAAAATGACTCTTGTTTTCCATTCTATCCACGTAGCACTTAATGGCAGTTTTTTCCCATCCAAGACTGTCCTCTGTCACAGATGGGGGCAGCTAAATTTCTAGACCTACTCTATTTTTGCTTACAGGAGACAAGGCACTGGCTGAGAATTAAATATTAAAATTAAATATTCACAGTAAGTCAACTATGTCTACAACTCATATTAAAAGTGATTTGTAAATAAAGGAAACAGTTAATGCTGTTTAGAGTTGCTTAATTTGACTTTGACCACAATACTAAGACTCAGTTATTCGTTGTTTAGAATGTTTTCATAATCAATATTATGCCAGAAATAGGCTGTTCCAAGTCCACAAAAGGAAAAGGTATCCAGCAGCAAGGAAAAACAAATCTGAAGACCTGTATATATTATTGGTTATAGTTATCTAATTACAGCAATTTGTGCTCTATTTTTGTTCTCTGGCTCATTATCCACAGTGGACCTTATTCTGAGAGGTGCTGATCCCTTCAATTGTCTTTGACCTGTGATTCTCCAAGTAATTGCTATTCAGTCTTGATCTCTCAGAGAACAGAGGTCTTCCAGCACCCTGCAGGTTTGGGCCAATTGTGGATGATATAAGTTGGAAAAATTTGAAGCCTGCTGCTTCTCACTACTTTCAGGCTTTTTGGAAATAATGACTAATAGGGAAGTATTTCACCATACAATCATGCTATTTATACTGCACCAGCTTGGCTGGAGAGATACAAAATGTGTAAATGTAATTATCTGAAGAGATTTTTTTCACTTTTCTCATATCATTATAGGCTCTTATAATACTATAAATATCTGCAGCTTTTTTCCTTATTTGTTTGATAATATAATCATGCAAACTAGGATTTTTAAATGCTCATAACACCCTCAAATTTAATTAATTTTGCTATCATCCATCAATTTTACTAGTAGCAAGCACTGATGGCAGCTCTATCACTAATGCATTGTATGTAGTAACCTTTCAAATACTTATTCAGACATTTCAATTGTCAAAATTCCATAGGGGGTCAAGATTTCTTCTTCAATCATAGCTATTGAATGTTGCAGAGAAATGGTGTGGCTAAGACAATATTTGAATTTGTGCTTTGAGATTTTTAGATGAAAAGCATGAGACAGCTCTGACTAGAAGTGGTTTTGTACAAATTAGCCTCCATTACACTCCACCAAGTAAGCACAGCAGTAGCTGCAGTGAGGTGCTCATTATTTCTAGAAACCAAAGCATTAATTTACCATTGTCTTTGGTTATGTTGTTGGGTTCCCCCCCCCCTTTCTTTATAGTGATGATAATAATACCAACCTAACTCACACAGGATTTGGTATGCTTGGCTAATTAATGCTTTTTGAAGCCTGTTGAGGTCTTCAAGTGGAAGGAGCTACGGAGCATGAGAGGTCATTAAACAAAAACTCTCATATTTAATTAAGACAAATTCCACATAAAATCAATTGTGTTTTTCAGAATTTTCTGTATCCTTAGTCAGCATGAGGTGACCAGCGAGATTAACAACTTCTTTGCTTTTATAAAGACTATACCATCTGTAATTTTTTTGCAGAATTTAAAATGGGACTGAAGACATTTCATTTCTTTGCAGATTCCCATTCGATTAAGCTGATATATTTTTGTCTACTAAATCCTAGACAAAGTTTAGCATTAGAAAACTGAGTGAAAGTGAAAAAGAATTAGTATGTAAAATATTATCTGTTCATATAATCTGATTACTGAGTGGAACAATTGTCAGTGGAAAAAGAGTTTCTCATTTTCCTGATCCAATTAAACAGCCAGTAATATCAATAATTATTTGTTTTTGTTATCTGAGATTTTGAGCGGTGTGAAAGATGTTACCTTTTTTGGCATTATTGTACTAACCTGTTGTTTTATGTATGTGTTACTGCTGTCGTCTTGCTTTCTTTTTCCCTGAAGTCATGTTCATATTTTACATCGAATGCTTTTCCATTAAAAATCTCCTTCATCAATGCAAATGCTCCAAGTGGAAATATCAATATTATTTTTAAGGTGAGTTACTCTTCTAATATTTACTTCCTTTTGTATGCAAAAGGCTGATTTTAAGTTCACCTGATTTATGTTTTAAATGTAGAGCCTGAAAATGTTTGATTTGGCTCTGTTCTTCACTTTTCACAGTTATTTTTGTTACTAGAACTTTCATTGGAATATGCAAAGAAAATACTCTGATGTACTCAACTTATTGATTGAGAATCAAGTTATTTCTTGCATCCCTTTTTCCTTAGTGGAGAAAACCAGGCTCAAATATAAAGCTTATTTTCTAAAACAGAGGGCACATCCTAAGAAGAGATTGCTCAGTATGACTGACTCCTGTAACCATATCCATATGTCTCTCACAAATCAAAATGCTACAGTGTCAAAGACTATTTGCTGGAGAGAGTTTAATTCCAGCCCTACTAGCCAGTGTGGGGGAATGGGGACTGCAGAGGAGCTCTGTCTCAGTAGAGTTAGTTGGAGGAACTGACTAGTATTCTAGTTTATTTTCCATTAAGCTTTGTAGTTGGGACAGTGCTATGTCCATCAGAAAAAGATAATGCTTGTAATCTAGAATAGTTTCTCTTTCAAAAGTGTATGTCTTCCATAACAACGGATGCTGGTTTTGAAAGAACACCGAAGGTCATAAAATGGCTGATGCATACAAAGCAGTTGATGTTGCCAAAGAAAACTTATTCCTTGATTTCTGGCAATGTCATGTTCCAATCCTAAAGCATAACAATTGATATAAATAGATCATAGAATCATAGAATCACAAGGCTGGAAAGGAGCTGAAGATCATCTGGTCCAACCGTCCTCCCATTACCACTGCTACCACAAGCACTAACTCATATCTCGCAGCTCCTCATCCAGACACCTCTTGAACACTGCCAGAGACGGCGACTCCACCACCTCCCTGGGCAGCCATTCCAGTGCCTGTCCACTCTCTGAGAGAAAACCTTCTTCCTTATGTCTAATCTAAACCTCTTCTGATACAACTTGAGACCATTTCCTCAGGTCCTGTTTGCTGCCTGGGAGAAGAGGCCAAACCCCTCCTCACCACAACCTCCCTTCAGGAAGTTGTAGCGTGCAATGAGGTCTCCCCTGAGCATTCTCTTCTCCAGACTGAACAATCCCAGCTCCCTCAGCTGTTCCTCATAAGACTTGTGCTCCAGACCCCTTCTCTGGACATGCTCCAGGGCCTCAATGTCTTTCCAGTAGTGAGGGGCCCAAAACTGAACACAATACTCGAGGTGCAGCCTCACCAGTGCTGAGTACAGGGTCATGATTACCGCTCTTTCCTGCTGGCCATGCTATTTCTAATGCAGGCCAGGATGCCGTTGGCCCTCTTGGCCACCTGGGCACACTGTCGGCTCATGTTCAGCCGAGCATCGACCAACACCCCCAGGTTCATTTCCTCTTCACAGTCATCCAGCCACTCATCCCCAAGCCTATAGAGCTGCATAGGGTTGGTGTGGCCAAAGTGCAGGACCCAGCACTTGGACTTGTTGAACTTCATCCCATTCACCTCAGCCCAGTGATCCAGCTTGTCTAAATTCCTCTGAAGGGCCACCCTACCCTCAGACAGATCAACACCACCTCCCAACTTGGTGTCATCCTCAGACTTACTGAGGGTACACTCAATCCCCTCATCTAGATCATCAATAAAGATATCAAACAAGATGGGCCCCAGTACAGACCCCTGGGGGACACCACTTGTAACAGGTCTCCAGCTTAACCAGCTTAACCAGTCTCCGTTAACCACTGTTTGTTGGGCATGGCCCTCTAGCCAGTTTCTTATCCAAAGAAGGGTATATTTGTCCAAGCCATGGGCAGCCAGTTTCCCTGGGAGAATACTGTGAGAGATCGTGTCAAAGGCTTTGCTGAAGTTTAGGTAGATTACAGCAAGAGCTTTTCCCTCATCTACCAGTCTGGGTGCAGTCGTAGAAAGAGATGAGGTTGCTCAAAGAACAACCTGCCTTTCATCAGCCCGCGTTGGCTGGGCCTGATAAATAAATAATACAGAGTGTAATTCTCAGGAACAGAAATATGCTCTCCAGGCATCTAGAGGAGGCTAGCAATATTTTGTTTTCTGAATATTTAGAAAGCTTCTTCTTAGGGTATTTCACATGTGAATCTATGTGAGATACAAAACTTACTGATTTCTTGTGCAAATGCTTTGCCATAAGGCATTTAAACATTTGAGTTAGTTCCACCTACACAGAAATTCCCCTGCCTGGTAATGTTCAAGAACCACTAATTTTCTAGCTGCTGTATGAGTATGATCATAGACATAACTTTTTCCAGTCAGCAACCCCTTGTATAAAGGTATTGTTTATTTTTACTGTCATTCAAGTGTTCATTCATGATATACAATGCATACATGAAATAATAAGCACTGATATTGTACTTAAGTAAGTGGAAAGAATATGTTTCTCAGGCCTAGGTAATATATATAGAATTAATTGGAGTCAAGATTACCTTGAAGTGAAGGAAAGATAGATTTGGATTTTTTATTTTAAAAAATAAAGTTGTCTCCTCCAGTACTCATTTAATGGCTGTAAATGTCTGTAGATTGGAATGCATTTGTAAAAAGAGCAGAAAAAAAGAGCAAAACATTTAACAATATCAGCAAAAATCACATGTATTTTAGATGGGATTGGGGGTAAGGGTAGATACAAATAAAAGCAGGCCTTTTATTTTCACAGGCTATTTATCCAGCTATCCAGCAATGGCTAAAGATAATCTCTTCATTACCTCTGTGGCTACAATTACAACCCCATTTCACTAAGATTGTTGTTTAACAGAGTCCATGGGGAGAGCAGGCACCACTGTTTGAAACTGAATATGAATTATGTCATGGATAAAATGTAAATTGATCATAAATTTCCTCTCAGCCTGCTGCAAACTGCAAGTTGTAAAGCTTAACATTAGGTCAAATGCTGTCATTTTTGAAAAGGGATCTAGCATTAGGTAGACTTTAAAATGTAGCTAAATTAGGATCCTACCTCTGGATTAAATTTTCAAACTTTAATAACTGCATAGGAATAATAAGCAGAAAGATTGTTAATCAGAGAGCATTTGCTACCATTTCTATGGCTGCCTACTTGTGCCATCTATTCTGTTCTATTTCTGACACTGAAAGTTAACCAGCAAATTTGAAGAAAAACAAGAGGGGGTTACTGTAAAATAAATGTAGCAATTTTAGCATAGGAAAGAGTCCAAATTAATTATGAAACTGTGTGGAAATGAAGGAGAAACTTGAACTTTTTGTGCTATTTTAACAGATAGGCGATGATCTACGTCAGGATATGCTGGTTCTGCAAATTATTCGAGTGATTGACAACATATGGCTCCAAGAAGGTCTGGATATGCAAATGATAATTTATAGATGTTTATCTACAGGAAATGGCCAAGGTCAGTTTCAGTTTACAAAGATTACTCCTATCACATTATTCATATCTCATGTAAACAATGGTACAGAAATATCTCAACTTTTATTTTCACGAGTGTCCTGCTTATCTTTCCTTGTAAAAAAAAAAAAAAAAAAAAAAAAAAAGTTCAGAACTTCATTTATTCAAGCCCTACATCAAATGCCTGTGTAATCCTGAATGTTCATTGCTTTCCAGCAGTACAACCAAATTCATTTAACTTTATAGCAACCTAGGCTAGAAATTTGCAAAAGCTTCAGTACCATCGGCTTTGACCATATTCTTAAAAGTAACTTCACATATCAAAAAGAGGGCTTTGAGAAAATTTGCTATAGCTACTAAAGTTTTAATCCAGTGTGATCCCACAAAGATGCTTAAATGAACCCAGAAGCTTGTGGCTACAGAAGGTACCTGTCGACAAGTGATGACAGCTTTCCTATGTTGAATTTCGTATATAACTCTTGTGATTTATGCTACTTATGGCAGGCCTGACTCATCTGAAAGCCTTATTTCTCTCTTTTATGGTTATAGTAGACCTGTAGCAGGGATGCCAATTGCCTGCTACAAAAAATTACTGACAGCAAAAAGCTTACTATTTTTCACTGACTCTAAATATTTTACTGAAAATATTCCTTGTACAACAGAAGACTGATGTATTCGAATTATCTTCTGTAGAAAATCTACCAAATGAATAAATAAATAAATAATATAATATAATATAAAGATACTCATTTTTATTGTGAGCCACAAAGAGAAAATGAGAGAGGATGAAAGATCATGAAGGGACTATGAGGAAGTACAGATAACTTCACACACATGGCAGGTGGTTAAGGTGAACAGAAATAGACTACTGCCTTCTTTGCAGAGGTTGTTTTCAAAACCTGAAGACTTCCACTTTAAAGGCAAATAACATAAAGAATATTACTTCTGAACATAGTATTATAGTCTCTCTTACACACTAACACTTAATTTGCTTTTTGCCAAGAAAGATGTAGATAACATCTTGAAATAATATTGTCTGAACATTCTCTTCCTTTCAGTACAATTGTAGCAGAAAACCTCTCAACATCTCAGATTTTCTCCACAGTGTCTTTCCTTAAGAATAATAGAAAAATAGAATAATAGTAATAATAGAAATGTTAATATAACTGATTTATAGTTGATAATCAAGGATAAAAGGACCAAGTGACATGCCTGTGGTCGGGGAGAACATGTGCGAAACTATACTACACTGGTTTACTCAGATCCTGCAAGTCCTGAGCTAATGTCTTGCTTTGTGGACCAGCTTTTCCACTCAAGGGGCATTGGAGATGATCACTATGTAGTCAAGGGAACACAAGAATCACTTAAAACTCAAGCAAACACAGATAAATATAAAGCAGATAAAGCACTCTGAGGGTATGATTTTCCAGGTATGGCATTGTAGAGAAGCCAGTCACCAACTGAATTCATTAAAAGTCCTTCCTGTAATGCAGAGTTGCAGAGTGAGGTGCCAGGGGACCACATACAGGAACAGTGGCAGAAGGCTGGCAAGCCAGCTCTCAGTTCCAAAGAAGAAATTAAGTACAAGCAGTAGGGACATAAGAATCGAGTGAAGCATTGCAAAATGTTTGGCTTCTTTTGCATTTTGAAGACCCAGTATATGTCACCTTGGATCAGAGTAATCTCTGCACTACCAGGCAGTATACCATCTCCAGCTGTGATCAGTATCATATACTGAAAAAAATGTCTGTAGTATTCTTGAAATAAATGCATATGAAAGAACTTTCTATTCCATAGTAAATATCTGATTCAAAAAAAAATTTTTAACAGATTTTTGTTTGCACATACATTATACCCACTTTGAATGTTGGCCTTATTGGTACCTTGAAACACTTAAGCATGCACAATTGTTACTGGTGATTTTATTTCTTCATGGAACTGCCATTTTTCACTATCTTCTTTTGTTTTATTGTCTCTTAAGACAAAGAAAAAAGTAAATCTTTGTCTATCTTCTTGATTTAATCCATTGTTTTGTAAGTTTCTAAGTGTGTATTTTTTATGCATGGAATGATCCAAAAATATGCAAATGCATTGGCCGTCTTCACGTTTTTTTAAACTTGTGGGCTTATCTCTCATGTGACCTCTTTTGTATCTGATTAGGACTTGTACAGATGGTGCCAGATGCTACCACACTAGCCAAGATCCACAGGGAATCTGGACTGATAGGACCATTGAAAGAAAACACAATTAAAAAATGGTTCCGTCATCACCATCGTCTGGAATCCAGTTACCAAGAGGTAACATCATAATGAACCTTATTATATATTTAATCCTATATCATGCGAAACAAGAAAGCGTAATGACAGTATGCAGCAATAAACAGATGACTCACACTCGAGGCAAACAAGTAACAGACATAGAAGCCAGGGAATTGATTTAAATTACCATTCTCTTTCCAAAGAGATACTGCTCTGCATCAACTGCTTTGTAATGCTTTGCCTATAAAAACACATCATAGAGATGTTTTGAAATAGAAACAGTGAAGTGAAGAGAATCTGAAGTATTACATTCTGAGCTCCAAAATATTTTTTGGGTCCAGCTCTTGAAATAATTGATTTTATATAAGCAGTGCAAAATCTTAGTGGGTTTTCTGTATTTGAAACTAGCCACAGCGATACCAAGTTTTGTAAAGCTGTGTTATAGAAACTGCCTAGTCATATAACACATAAGATCAAGCTTTTCACTTCACATTGTGGGATCCCATGTAATACATCTGTTTACATGAAACCAAGCATTATGAGTGCACCAAGAAAACCAAAGTTTTATTTATAGAAGCAGAGATTTCCTCTTGAAAGGAACTTCTATTCATTTTGATGGTTGAGCATATTCTAAGGTCCATTAAAAAGTTTTCACTACTTGTGTTGCTAGGACAATTTTTGATTCCTTCTTCACGCCAGCAGTAGATTAGTAGCCAACATTTTAAATGAATTTTAAAGGGAAGCCTTGAGTGTTGTCATTTTGTAAATGAACTGCTTTTTTGAAAGTTCATTAGTAGGCAGATACATGGCAGAAATGTGTTTGATAATCTTTAGTGTTTTATAGTTATTCAATAGGTTTTTGTTCATCCATATTTTCACATCAAGAAGAACATTGGAATTCCTAGTATATGATGTATATTCAGTTAAACAGGATCAAGCCATTCAGAAATAAAAACAAAAAATTGTGTTTACAGTATTATGATAGATGTGCAGCCAACATTTTTGATTGAAAAGTTAGATAGCTATTAGTTATTTACTGAAAACCTGTTTTCTTACACCTGCTGTTCTTTGTAAAAAAAGTACCGTTAACGTGAAATTTTATAAAACCAATTTCTACCGATTTTATTTTGATTTTTTTAATCATATAAAATGCAGTCCACTCTGATTTTGCATAGGGCATGCACAAAATTGCTGCTATATATTCACCTTGCACTTGCTGGTGAATTAACCTTTCTCTTTTACTTAGTAATTTTTTACTCATACAATATTGTATTTAGGGCACTCAAAAAGCTTATGCAGAATAAGCTTTAATATCCTCATTTTATGGTTGAGTGAACAGAATCACAGGAAGCTTAGGTGTTTTATCCAAGGTCATCCATGTGAGTAAGTAGTACAGTGAGACATAAAATTCACCAGTCTTGTGCTGTGGCCTAAGTCTTCCACAGTGTTGTCATCCAGCATATCAGCCATTGCCGATGTCACCCTCAATCTACATGGAAATTCTGAATGCCTGAATAATGATATACCTTGCCTCACGTAGGTTTTGTCCAAAAATGTGATGATCACAAGATACCCATGAGATTAAGACTTTTGAATAAGAGTTGCATTTACAGTTCTTAAACTACTATTGATAAAATTAAAAAACAAACAAACAAACAAACAACCAGATGAGAACTATTCCTTTTGCTTTGGGGTAGAAAACTGATCATGATTTTAATCAGCAATAACTGTCCCCACAGAGAGGATGCTGAATGTTGTGACAGTGATTGGGTAGATTCTGCTAATAGAAGTCTGCAGTTGTTACTTGCTTATCACAGAACTTAGTAGAAAACAGAACCCATCTAAGGGTGTCCGGTAAGCAGATCAGCAGCTTGCACTTTTTCCTATGTCAGTAGACACGTTTTTTGCAAAAAGCAATGCTACAATGTAGTACTGTAAAGATTGATAGGATGGATCTGAATGAGTAGAATAACTGGGAAAGTACACATCTCCACATGTACAAGTGCTCATCAGTGAAGTAGGTTATATCAAACAGGAAAGCTAGACTGATATGCAGTTTAATCATTCTTTTGGTTTTCTCTACATGACACTTGACTTGATCTCATAGTCTATTTGGATTTGCAGATGCTATGCACAGAAAATGATTTAGCCTTTGTTACTTCACTTTATTTCTGTAAAATGTAGATAGTATGAGACTCGATTCATTGTAATTTAACGCAGCTGAAATGTGGAGAGAAAAGCCCTATGTAGGTACAGAACAATTGTATAAATAACCCACTTCTTCAAAGCAGTTTGTAAAATTAATAGATTTCCATCCTACTTCTAAAGAGATGCAGACTATTGCACAGAAAATCTGAGCTTCCTGACATCTATCTTGTTTTTCTTAGATACCTTTTGGCTTGTAAGTTTTCCACAGAATTCCAAGAATCTATAAACCACAAGTTGAAAATTTCATGCATAAAATTGTTGTTGCATTGTAACTTTGAAATTTCTGTATTAATTGTTCTTTGAACTATCCTAAGAACACTTGTGTTAAAATTTTAGCAACATTTGTAGAACCACATTTATTTGCTTTTAGCATTAAAAAAAAAAAGAAAAAAGAAAAAAGAAAAAGAAAAAAATGTGTCTCTATATTTCTAATAAGTGCTTTTGTTTAATTAACTAGGCAATAAGGAATTTCTTCCATTCCTGTGCTGGCTGGTGTGTTGTCACCTTCATTCTGGGAGTTTGTGATCGACACAATGACAACATAATGTTGACGAATGCTGGACACATGTTTCACATTGATTTTGGAAGATTTTTAGGTCACGCACAGACATTTGGAAGTATAAGAAGGTTAGTATATATAGTAATACGTACAATAGATAGACTTTAAAAAGAAGTTCTGAATACCCATTAATAAAGTACAAGTAAGGTCATGCTTTTTTTCTTTCAATTTTTTACAAAACATAAAAATAAATGTAGGAATTACTAGAAAGGTAGCTGAAATGAGATGTTGGAGATCCCCTTTCAATCTTAAACACAAACAAACTAGCAAAAAACCTTAAATTCTTATCTGGTCAGAAATTTGGATTAGACTAACCTGGGTAGTGAACAGAACAGTAGACTATGGCAAACAGATTCTGCTTTCCATTTTTTCTCTAACAGTGTTTCTATAATGAATGCCAAACCATAGGTGTGTCTAATTGACAACTCCTTTTCCATACTGAGAGAATAACCCAAATTTTCCAATTAGACATGAAAAGAGATTGCATTAAGCCTCTGTGGGTGAAGCTGCAATCTTTACATCATCTTTCAAAGATAGTGAAGGTCAGGTCTTATTTTGCTGTTATCTTGTTGTACTTAAACAAGAATGCGACTTTTCTGTTTCTATCTATCTCTGATGCCTACATGATTATAACTATAAATAAAATAGTGTGATCGTGTTTTCTAGTTCCTGCTGTGGACATGCTATAGGAGGATTAATAAAATAATAAATAATATTAATAAAAATAGGTGTGATCATTCTCGTGTGTATAGCACATGAAGAAACTGTTAAATAGGAAATGGATGAATGATACTTAATAATGACAAATAAGTGGGGAGAATGACTTTTTCCATGTTTCCTAATAGTTTCCAGAACTAGTATTAGAATTAAGATTTTGAGTTAATTATTCCTTTCTTTTCTTTTGTTTTCTTTCTTCTTCTTTTTTTTTTTCTTAAGCTTGCCTTTGACTGTTTTACACTATCTCCATGTACGTGACAGAAATTACTGTGGGAATATTGATATGAAGGAAGCTGATGAGGCTAATAAGTACTCCCTGAGCTTGACAGTTAAAAGATTTAGCTGCAGTGTTCAGAATTATCATCAGTCATTCAAGATATGTTCTTTTAATCCTACTTACTTGCTAGAGAAATAATAAAGCAGAACAGAGCCATAAGAAAATACTCAGGCACACTCGGTTAAATGTTGCATCTTTCACTCCAGCAAACCTTCTTTTAGAGCCCCGCAGAATTTTTCTTGAGTAGGGTTCTCCCATGAGCAGAGAATTATTTAGTGGGAGTGAAAGGTAGGACCAACAAAATATAAGGACATACAAAGCAATATAACTTAAGCAGAAATTATGTAATAGCAATAATAAAAGTAGATTTTGATTTTATTGTTTTACAATTCAGTCTTACTACACTGTGTAAATAAGACTATAAAAATGACTTACATTGTAAGTAAGTAACATCCATAAACAGTAGCCATTTTTTTTCCTCTTTCTCCATGCAGTATATTGCTTTTATAACATAAAATAAAATGATAATTGACATTTTAGGACCTCTACTTAATTCCCTCATGGTTCCTCACAAAACAAAGACTCATACTTTCTGTAGGTTATGAACATCATGAGCCTTCCCTGAACCTGCATGCAACTGAGCAGGTATGAGATTAATGACTATGGCTCTCATGAGCTGAATGCACCTACAAGAAATGTGACATATTATTTGTAACACAGAAACACAGGCATATGACATTTCTACTTCCCATAAAGTTCAGGCTCACTCAATTTAAAACGCTCAGTGCTATTTGTATCCATCCATTCCCACAAGGCAAATCCTGAGGTAGTTTTAGTCTCTACTTTTAACATTTCTTTATATTAAATTTTTATTTGAGTTCTTATTAGATTTTTATTTGAATTTTTTTCACTATCAAATGATTTCATGCTCCTAAAATAACATTGATAAAATAGCAACAAAATAATTTCAGATTTTGGAGTTATTTGTTCTGGCCGTTGGATTTTGGTTTTGTTTTTTATACAGTAGATGCTATGTACATACTTGTGAAGTTCTGTAGGTAGCTTTAAAGAATGAAGTGTCTAATGCAAATCTCTAAACAAATAACAACAACAAAAAAGCTATGCAAATGAATAAATTTGTGTAGCTTATTATCTGAAATTATGAAAAATGGACACTCCTTTGAAAATTTAGGAAGATATCTTTCTTGAAACAGCTATCTAATATGCTTTTAGAGAGTTCTTTTTAGCAGTCACAAAATATTATTCCTCATAAACTTTCCTGAGAATAGGTCTTCTCTAGCATTCTGAATATGGAGCATTAACTCTGATGTAAATAAAGATATACAGAGTAGCTTTCAGAATCCCACTCTGTCATGCATGGACCATGGTTCTTTCTATGAAATCCATTATGAGTTTACAGAGTATTCTTTGAAGATTATATAATTCATGCAGTCATGCTCATTTTTGCATTCATGATTGCATAACACTCTTGCAAGGGCTTAGTGAATTTTTCAATTCCCTCCCCTCATTACTAAAAGGTGTCCAACAAACCTGCCTAGATTTGAATGCAAGGCAGAAGACAGTGGTTCAGCACTTCATCTGTTCAGAAGAAAGACTAATCAGGAATATTCTTTTTTTTCTAGTTCCCTTCACATAAGCAAATATCTTAAATACTAATAATAACCTATCTTTGCATGGGTCTGGGAACTAATGTTTTGGAAGAGTGTTGAAGGGAGACATATCTAAAAAGCATCATGAGAGAGCTTTCCTTTCGAAAATGAGACTTTTTTTTTAATCATACTAATTATACATTTTGTTAGTGCTAATAAAATTCCACTTCTTTCATTTTCTAATCCAGCCACTGCATTTGACCCTATATTACCCTGAAGTACTTAATTGTTCAGGTGCACTCCAAACTACATGAAGAAACTTCTATCATTTAATTTAACTCTCCTATTCTTTCACTGCTGACTATTCCATGGCAATCACTTTCTAAGACCCACTCTGAGTGAAACAGGTGTACTATTATTCAGGTAATGAAATCAGAGTAAGGCAGTCATCAAATGGCATGGAAAAAGGTGTTGGGCTCATGGCTGTACTTGCTGTACTTTCTTTGATTTTTTTTTTCTTCTTTTCAATGCTGACCAGCTCTTTTTAAACATTTTTTAATTGGTGAATTAGGCAGTAAGATATTTATTTAAGTCCTGTACTAAGTGAACCAGTCCAGTCTTTACCAGTCTCATTCTTTCCCCTACCAGTCACTTGCAGAACTTTTGTTAGTCAATGATATGTGGTTTGAAAGCTGATGGCAAGATAGTAGTACAGCTCATGGCATGCTATATATTCACATTGTGATAACTTGTGTATATTATTTTTTTAAAATAACTAATCACAGATTTTTGTTTTCCCTGATCTGAATCACAGAGACACCCATCTTTTTGCCAAACTAATCCTGCATGTTGGCGGAGTTTTCCCAGAAATTACATCTGCTAAGATGGTTTTCTTCTGCAAAGTTAATTACTGGAGGCAGTCTAACTATTCCACTGGGTTTTTGGAAGGAAGTTTCAAAAACATGGGAAAATGATGTTTCCCACACTTTCTTCTTACATCAGTAAATTTCCTATGCTGAAAAACACTTAAGAAAGTCTGAGCATATAAAAACTTATCACTTTTTATTTAATAAGTAACACGTTTCATTTTAATTGTTAATAAAATTGATTTTAGTTTTCCTGGAAGAGTTTATTTGAAAAAATGCATTTTTTTAGTCATTTTTTTCTAAAATGTCAAAGTTGGAATCCATTCAGAGAAAAAAAAAAAAAAGCTCTATCTACACGATTACTTTTCCTACTTTTAGGAAAATAATGGAAGAAGGAAGATAAGCATTTGAAATGAAATTTGAAATTTGAAATAATTTTCTTTTTTTTGGGGAGGGGGGGTGTTGGGGTGGGTGGGTGAGAGGGGTACTTCTTAAAGGAAAAGCCTAGAATGTGAAAGTTGACAAATAGGTTGATATATAAACAGTTTCTTTGGACTGACCAAAAAAAGAAACATTATAAATGTTTCAGTGTGCCTGTTTAATAGTTTATTTTCTGCAGGTTAAATTTATTATTCCAGTATGATCATTCTGGAGTTAGTTTATGTGAAGTATAACAGCCAGTATCCAGTTTCAGCACTTCCTCTATGTTGCCCTTCAGAAATCTCTGACTGAAATCCTGGAAAGATTTAATTTCATAACTTAAAACATTAGTATCACCAGTGGTCTTAATAAGATTATACAGGTGTTTAAAGTTGGTCATACAAATCAGTCTTTGCATAAAGACCAAAAGGTGAAATATGCATAAAAGGCATAAACATGAAACGGTATCACCTGAAAGGTGAAAAGGCCTAAAGAGGCTTGGATTTATGAGGCAAGAGGTCCATCACTTCTGATGTTAGGCACCTCTAATTGCCATAAGTTAAACACCAACAGCACAAATCAAGACCAAGCAGTACAGTTTGAGTTTCGGATGCATTTATGTTCTCTTTGTCTACTTTCAACAGTGGAATTTATTGTTACTGTTTTGCTGCTTTCTCTAATTATCAATCCTGAATAATAGTTTGTGCTTTTCTAGCGAGTGTTTATTTTCATTAACAGCCTCTTGTGGAGAGCATCCACTAAAACCTTTATGAGTAAATTATATTCACTGTCCACTTGGTATTCTTGATTTAATTTGTTACCTTTTTCAAAGTACCAAGACTTTGAAAAGACATTTAGGAGGGCATGTTTTGGGTTTTTTTTCCCATACAATCCCTGTATTGATTTGACTCTGTCTAGTTCTGTTCATCTGAGTGCTTTCTTCTGCTCTATTGAGTCCCGTGGAACTCAGTTCCCATCTGTCATGATTCCCAGTTCCTGTCCCATCTTTTCATTCTGCTGAGTCACGGTATTAGCTACTTTCCAATCTTTAGGAAATGCTGCTTTCCTGAAGGAGTCATCATGTCTTCTTGGCAACAGTTATTTAGGCTAGATAAATTATTTGATGCCTTCAGAGGCACCAGTGGAGTTTCTTCTGCTTTTCAAGATTTATCACACAA